ATTTTCTGATATTCTCCATACTGCGAAAATGATTTTACCAGCACTGGCGGGGCGACATCTCTCGACTTTTCGGTCATCTCTTGACTACCACACAAATGATGTTATTAATTGTATTCATCTATATTAAAAATATCAAATATTAATGAACTCGTGCACTTTTTTGCATTTAAAACTGCTTATCAGGAAGATAATGAATAGAAACTAAAATCTCCATACATTTTCAAACGGCTTCATATCACTCGTATAAATAAGTACGGACGATATCACAAATGGCGCAATTATATCCCGTATGGTTAGTACGATAGCCCGAATAGGTGGTTAAGCACTTTTTATGGTTATTTTGTATGCACTGTATTTGTAAAACAACAAAATATGATTAATTAAGAAAAAAATCGTCAATACAGAAAATACAGATTTTTTAATAGAGTGGATACAGATTTTTTATAAAACCACCTGGCAGCTCTGCTGCCTGCCGCAGTCCGCGTTCTGTTTCATTGGTGAAACGCCTAAATTTTGCTGCGGGGAGGCGAAATAGTTTGCAACAAATGGATGGTTTTGCGCTAACGAGGCATCTTGAGTTCAGTGAGGGGAAGATGGTCACTTTCTGTTTTAATTCAAAAAATAGTGTCGCATAAAATTGAATGTACTAAATTTAGTGCTTTAGCTCACGAAGTGCTCTGTTTTTAATTTATGAAATGTTGCCCACATGCAGAGTTTATAGTTACCGGAAATCCGTATATGTCACGATGCAAATCAGGGCTAGAATGTTTTTGAATTTATAAACAATAATAACAAAATAGGGGCTCTTCATTAACTACATGGACTGTTTTGGGGGTTCTACACAGTTAACGTTTTTAGTGCATACATTTGCTATATCTCTTGTCCTATAGATAACTACAGTAGTCTGGGAGCAAATAGATCAGCGGGGTAAAATTGATCACAATGAGATGTATTTTTGGTTAGCTTATAGTATATTTTTGGTGGTAGATATCAAGACAATTCTGATAGCATTTCATTGTGAGACTCCAATAACTGCTTTGACGAGTTTTTCAAAACATACATGCATAAATTTCAGATTTATTGAAAAGATGTAAAAAATCATCAAATTTCATCACTCAAACACGAACAATAGAAATTGATGCCACTGCACAGTGTTGCTTTTTTGCCGTTTCCGTGCGCTTTTTTAATAACTTCTCAAACATTGATTTAAGAGGTATAGTTTGTTCAAAGATGTTTTTGCATATGTTAATCCATTTCTTTTGATGTAGACGGTTTGGTAATTAATCTACCTTAAAGTGAGATCAAAAAAATATTTTTTTATCTGTTTTAGATAGAGACTTAACGTCTTGCATAAAGTTGTAGTAAATGTTACGAATGTTGTAGTAAATTACGAGATATGTATCATTTTTCGTGAAATACGCCTTTAAATCATATTTTTTAGTATAACTTTTTTTTTAGGCATCCTACAATTTTAGTTACTTCTACACTTATATTTTGCATGTTTAAACACATGCTTTTGCTGAACATTGTAAATAATTATCTCTTGAAACAAAAAAGTTATTCTTGAATAATCGATATTTTTAGGGGTATTTGCTCCTTAAATAACTTTTTCCGGCGCAAATTGGCGCAAAATTCTAGGAAGGATTCTGAATCTATACTTATTTTACTGCTGTTTTAAAAACATGTGGCAGCACGTGATATTTTAGGTGTTTTTTAATAACTAAAAAACTCCTGCAAATGTCTAATTTTTGAATACACTGGAGTCGCTTTTTACGCGTTTTTTTTTTACACGGTATTTTTTCACGCGGTTTTTTTTGCGGATTTCGGAATTTACACGGTTTTTTTTATCCGGATTTCGGAATTAACGCGTTTTTTTTTGCGCGGATTTTGGTTTTTTTTACGCGGATTTCAGAACGGTTTATCGTTATACACTAGAGTCGCTTTTTACGCGATTTTTTTTACACTGTTTTTTACGCGGATTTCGGAATTTACGCGGTTTTTTTTACGCGGATTCCGGAATTTACGCGGTTTTTTTTTACGTGGGACGTATCACCGCATGTTACAATGTTCAGCAAAAATATGTATTTTTGTATGGCAAACAACTATGTAGAATATGTTAAATATATAGTTTTCATTTCGGTGGCACTCTTGTTCCATCTGGCCCTATATAACCCGCCCCCTATGTAATAATAAGCAGCGAAAAATCACCCTTTCCTCACATACCTTACATAATTTGTAATGCAAATCACAAAAGATTATTTTATATTTCTTTTTCAGTTTTAAAAATAATTGTTTCTGTACTTACCCGAATGAATAATTTCAACATTCTCATTCTCATCCATGTATTGTGCGTTTATTGTAAAAATGTGGCGACCCCGACATGACACTGAATCTATTTTCAGGTTCAGCAGTCGCCCCTATGCACGCTTACTATAGAGTTGTTTTATTTCCCTTGCCCCTTTATCAACGTACCCAGGTACATCTGCTTCAACGAACATGTAGACTCACTCTAACTCAATTTGTCTCTATCAGCACACTCTGACTCAGACCTCGAGTTAGAAGCATGGTGAATCAGAACGACTAAGCTCAATTACTGAGAGAGAGAAAGTCTGGTTAGATGAACACATTCTCAGCATTTGTCTGTTCTCCCACTGAGTTGAGTCGGAATATTTTTGTTATTGCCTCTGTCCTATTCGTAGTGAGAGCCTGGTTGGAAAGTGAACATTGTGAGTTGTATCTCTCAAATAATGGTACTGAGTTTTCATTGATGCGAAAATTTGCAACATTGCCTTAAACTAGGATCTAATGATTTTGTATGATACACAAAAATTCGTTGATTGCCCCATGTGTATATGGACTAATGGATAAGTAGCTGCCATACTGATATGAAGACACCAGGTTCGAGGCTAATGTAAGCAGGTATGCGTTGAGTTTTTCAAACAATTTGCAGTAATAAGTAATACAAGAAAATCCATAAAATATAATTTATACCTTCAGGTTTGTTATCCTAAAATAATACATGTATATATATTTGCGGTTGCCGATATGATTTTAAACACATCCTATATGCGTACAATACAGTTAACTTGAAAAGTTATAAAAGCTTTGATATATAATTGCATTATGCACGTTTTGTTATACAAGACGAAAAACAAGAGATTGCGTAATCATTCTAATGAAATCAGAAGACATCTCTTATACGATGTTTGCACTAACTACTATTTGTACGTATATGGCCTCCACTTTTGTACGCATATAAAGAATTTATGCATCTTGTACGATGCTTTTATATCGTATAAGACTACAGCTAACTTAATTGCAACTGAATAATGTAAACAAAATTGTTTGCTGGGTTTCACTTAAGTGTCGTACGTGATCGTTTGACTTCTCGTGAATTTTCAGGGTTAAAAGTCTCGGAAAAGGGATGGACTTTGAAGGGGTTGGCGTTTCTTCTGATATTGAGTTAAACTAAATTAGCGTGAAGCGTGACAGAAGTGATAATAGAGAGATGCGTCAAAATCTCATGCTTAGTGAGGGGAAATTCTGATACAAACTGCTGGGTAAACGAGGGGCAAATACGGAGGTAAATACGAGCTACCTAAGGTCGTTGAAGAAGAAACAACTAAAGATGAAAACTATAGTTGGACCAGCAGTATTGGAAGCAGATCAGCCGAGATTCGTGTAGCCGTGACCGAGGCTGGAAACCTCGGTCCGGTCACTACAGTGACCAGAGATTTTTATGCCTCAGAAAAAACCCACCGACCTCGGCTGGGATAAAACCCAGACGCACTTACCCTTACCACTACACCACCGGCGCCGGCTAACTTAGAATCTTAGACGTAAAGAAATATATCTGTGGAAAAATTGAGAATATTACATGAGCAAATTTTCATTGCGTCGAAAGTAACGAAGGTAAACAAAATTGAGCTCTCAGTGCCAATCGATGCTCCTGCTATTGCACTATGTACTGTTCGTTAGGGTTGCTTCCACTCATTTGCTATAAAAATATATTTTTCGGAATTACGAAATCATTAAATAGTATAATGCTAATTAGTACTTGTAAGTTACAACAAGAGGTTATGAAGTATATGTTTGACACATACAATCTGTCAATATTGTTTTCAGTCCATCACAATCAGCGATTTTACAACTCGTGAGTGCTCACTCAGAGTGAACGCTCACGAATCATAAGATCGCTGATTGTGACGCTCTGAAAGCAAAATTGACAGGTTTTATGAGTCAAACACATACTTTACACCCTCTTCCTGTTACTTAAAAGAACAGCATACCATTATAACATCTATTGATTGCATAATTCCGAAAAATATTGTTTTATAGCATGTGAGTGGAAGCAACCCTGGTCTGAATGTAGGATCACCCTGCTTAATATGTTGAACAATGGTATCACTATGAGATTATATGCGTTCAATTGGAAATAGAAAAAACTTTTCGGTCATCAAAACAAAACTAAATTTTTCTCGGATCGGTGCGAATGTTACTTTCGACATAATGAAAATTTGCTCTTGATAAAATCAATTTGATAGAGGCGTCATGTGTAGTAGGCCTAGACAAGGGCGTAGCAAACCCTCACTACCACGCTGACGATTAGCGTTACTAGATTGAACACTCACTGATCGCTTTTGTTGTTTTCTTGAGTTCAATGACGAAAAGTGTATTATACATTTGAAATAACTAATAAAACATCGAAAAATTTGAAAAGTTGATTTTCAGAAGCGGCTCATAAACGTAAATATTCAAACGAATCACGTTTTCCTTTCCATTCGCACGTGTTGCTTGCTGCATAGCACTAGAGCCTTACAAAGTGCCCGCGCAATTACCCTCTGAAAGGATTGGATCTCCGACCACACCCAACATCAACCAGCTGATTCTCGCGCTTGCTTTTGCTCACTCTCGCGAGAGAGCACCGTGCAAATTTTGACAGTTTCATTGCATCGAAGCGCCCAAGCATCGTCGTTTGTTTTTGTTTTGAAATCGTTTTGCGCTGTATCTAATCGGTGTTCGGAAGTTATCGCCGCGGAAAACAAATTTAAATCGGTACTTTTACGGTGAATTTTAGTGCATCAAACAAGTGCGCGATGTCGTCGTCCCACGGGGGTACCACCAGTACCGACAGTTTCGGTTTCAACGGGATGAAGATATTCGAGGTGGCACGGGACTGTTTGCCGGACGATCGGAAGCGAACACAAAACCTAGTGGAGACGAAGGACGATGTGCTGTTTGTTTGGAATTCCAAGAACTGTTGTGTGCTAACGTTGAACTGGCGGGCGGCCAGCGTCAAGAAGGACGAACAGCAAAAGTATCAGGTGGGTGAATTAATGGGGCTTCCGACGGGTTTCGCTGGAGGAATAGGCGTTTAGGTTCGATTCTACACATAACCTCCTTTGCGTGCGGAGGGGGCTTCGAGTGTTTGGGCTTACCGTGTTGGTTCTTGTGATTGGAACGGTGAGAGCGAGCGAGTGTGAGATTCTCTCTCTCTGTTGGTAAGAAAACATTGACAACAGTGGCAGCGATAAAATTTGGGACACCTTTGATGTTGATTAAATTTCGTCGAGCACCTAACCTAAACAACACTTATCACTGTTTTTTGTTGTTGTAATACCATCGGTAATTTTAAAAGGCTTCTATATCTACTTTCATATTCTGCATATTTTTGTTAAATGGCTATTTTGATTTACTACAAGAATTAACAACAGTTTTATAAAATATTCTTCAGTAAGTACAATACTAGGATATGGTCAAAGCTTCCAAATGCTCATTTCAGGAAAAGTACTATTTTTCGGAATCATGAAACAATGAGATGTAATGATAATTTGTAATTGTAAGATGTAAAGTTTGTGTATGACACATCAAACCTATCAATTTTGCTTCAATTAGCGATTTTATAATTGCTGAACGCTCGCGATTAGATCATAAAATCGCTAATTGCGATCCTCTGAATGCGAAGTTGAGGCGGTCGATCTATTTTTGGCGAAAATTCCAACGGAATACTAAAAAGAGCTTCCAACAAATTCTGTTGATATTTTTCAGCGAATTCAAAGGAGAGCTCTAAGGAAATTCAGATGATCATTCCAAAGATCTAATGGATCTACTCTACGAAAATTCTGAGCAGATCTTAAATACATCTGGGAAGAAAAATTTCGGGGGAATAATACACTTATTTGAGTAATTAATTTATTTTTTAAGATACATTTTTTGTAAATCTATTTGAGAAATTTTTAGCCAAAGGTTATTCTTTTTTTTTTTAGGTACAATCTCACGAGCAAGAATGCGTTTTTTATAGTTATAAAGAAAAATATTTTTTTTTAAACACACTTTCCATTCATGAACGTAACTGCCATGTTTTCTTTTTCTACGAACGAGTTATTCGTCGCGGTTTCTTAGAAATACTTAAACATTTCCCACCAATATTTCATCTGAGCTACCGTTTTGATGACTGTACCTTTTACCTTCAGTTTCCATAATTGCCCAGTACTTTTGAATGGGCCTGAACTGAGGGCAATAGGGCCGATTGATAGTTTCCAGAACAAACTGAACTCCGTTGCCATTGCCAGATTATACATTTGCTACTTAATTTGTGTATGTCCAAGATCTAAAATTATTCAAAATCTTGAACTTTCGCATTCCATGTACAAGTTCAAGATATTGAAAATTTTGCCAGAATCAAGGAAAAAAATAAATGATTTATTTCAAGTTCGTAATTAATTTTATGAAAGATTAGAGATCTTCAATGCAGTGGTAATTCTCAACAATGGTAGAAACTTATGAGAAGTTCTGAGTAATGAAAAAAATGCTGATAATTTCAGTGAAGCTCCATAAACAAACTGCCGGAACATAAGGGAAGTTGATACGCTGACAATATGGGAACTTACTGGAAACTTTAAGAGCCCCAAGGTGGTTCTTTTAGCATCCGAAAATTATCAGGAACTTTTATGAATTCCTAGAATTTCAGAGAACGTCACAGGTGTCAAGTGATCTTGAGAAACATAGAAAACATGAGGGGTATAGTGCAAATTTTTAAAAAGTTCTAAGTACCTCAGAAAAGCTAGATCTAGAGATCTCTAGCCAGACTTTTGGAGCAGTTTAAAGATCTATAATCGTAAATTTAGAAAAAATTCAGGATAGTTCCATGATGTGCTGAAAAAAAAAATCGAGAACCCTTAAGATGTTCCGATTCAAGGATGTACAGAGATCTTCAGAGAAACTATGAAAACTTCAGAAATATTTCAGGAACTTCACAGAAGCCCAGAGAATTTCAGGGAATTCCATTTATTTCCTAGCAGAACTGAGATCCTCAATAGAATTTAGAGCTTTAGGGAAGCTTCGTGAACATCTAGACATATTAGAGAATCAAAGGGCAGTTCAAATAATTTCAAGGAATTGTAGAAACCTTAAAGAAGTTTCGAGAAACTCAGAGAATTCCCGGAAACTTCAGCAAAGCTCCGAGAGAATTTCTGGAACGTGATAAAAATTATATGAACATCCGGGAAACGTGAGAGTATTTTAAGGGTGTTATATTATGGAGATTTCAAGAACATAAAAAAAATGCGAAAATTTAGCTTAGTTGATTAGAGAACATCAACAAAGTTCCAAAAATTAAAAAAAATGCGAGAACTTTTAGCAAGCTTCAAAGAAATCCAGAGAACTTCTAATACATTTTGATATTTTTAAATGGTTTCATGAAATTCAGCGAAGTTCCGAGTACTTCGAGGACGATCAGATAGCTTCAGAATAATCCCATTAACTTAAGCAAATTTGAAGTTGATAATCCTTTAATTTAGAGAACTTCAGGTAAGCATAGATAAGTTCAGGGAAAATTAGTGAGCGTTTGTAATTATTATAATACTTAAGGAAAATTGTCGAAACTTCAAGGCAAATCATTTAATTTTAGTAAAGTTCGGGTTCTTAAAAGATACTGATAAATTCAGGGCAGTCTAGAGAACTTTGAGGGAATTCAATAATCGTACCACCAGGAAAAAGTTTTAAATTAGTGCCAATAATTTACGGGATATTTCATGAACTTCAGAAAAAATCATAGAACTTTATAAATTATGTCGCTCTAATTCCATGACAATTGCGGGAGCACAAAAGTTCCAGAAGTTTAGAAAAACTTTGAAATCTTCACAGAAGGACAGTGATCTTCAGAAACATTTCGAGAACATTTCGAGAAAATTAGTGAAAATTTAAGGCAGTTCCCAGATTTACAGATAACTTCAGATACGTTAAAAATTTAACTAAGGTCTTCCCATGAGTTCAGAAGTTCACTGAAGCTTAAACATTTTTAGGATGGTTCAATTAAATTCAGCGCATTGCAACAAGCTTCATGAAAACTGCAAAAACCTTAGAGAAGTTTTGAGAATTTCAGGAAAGAACAGAGAACCTCAGAGCAGTTCCGTTAACATTAGAGAAGTCACATAAATTTCAAAGAAGTTTAGAGAACTTCAGCGAATTGTTAAACATTTATCTATGATCGTTAAAAAATTGAGAAAACTCAAGCTTAGGGAAGTTTAAAAAATTAATGAAAAGTATTGTGAGCAGCAGGTTAGTTTCTCAAACAAAAAAGAACTGCAAAGCAGTTTCATTAAGGGGGTATTCCCAATCTTTTGGCTTTTTTCGGCCTGTTTTTCAATTAATTTTTTTCAAGGAAAATGAATAGTAATGCGCCTAACTCTTTGGGATTCTTGTTTATTGAACATTAAAGTTTACAAATAAATTTTTTTCGACATAAAAAAAGACATTATTGACGTCACAAAATGGCGACAAACAGACCCCTGTTCGCCGCAAACGCCTGGACGGGCGAAGACTTTTCTCTGGAACGGCTTCATCTGAAACAGATTTCGTGATGAAATTAATAATCTGCATAAGATTCTCTGGAGCTTCTCCCGTTGGCAGCAAAAAATCTTGCAAATTAACAAAATGGCGGCCATATGAAAAAACAGGCGATTTTTAGCCCGTTTTTTTGCAACTTTAAGGTGCTTCAAACAATGTTAAATGTTAATATTTTTGGCTGAAAGTGGGAGAAGCTCCAAAGAATTTAATAAGGAACAAAATGCGCAAAGATTCAAGTTAATATCTCTTATAGTTTCTGAGAAAAATCTTCGCCCGATAAAAAAAAAATGTGGTTTCGAGAAAAACGCGTTTAAAGTTTTGACTTTAGTTAAAACCATTTGGGGGTTCTTACCATTAGTCAGCTATGCCTGGACACTGAATTCGCTGATCGGAAAACGGCTTGGGGGGATGAAAGTATATAGTCTAAAGTACAAAAAAACGTAAAAAAAAAAATTTGATTTTTTGAAAAAAAAGATCGGGAATACCCCCTTAACTTCAGGACAAATTTGGGAACTTTCAAGTTGTTCTGAAGACCTCAGAATAGTCCATTCTGATATCCATTGAAATATACCTCAACATTTCGATGAAGCTTCGAATTCAATTTTCTTTTAGTTTTCCTCGGAAATATCTTGAAATTCACCACAATAAGAAACCGTTTGGAAAGATTCTCCGAATATTCATTAAATTCATTTCAGATTTCTTTTTGAATCTCACTCCTTCCCTTGGAATTCTACTCACATTGAAAGTCTCCTAAGAATTCATTGGCATTTCTCCTCACAAATTCTTTAGATTTCTTCTCATAATTTGTTTGGCAAACTCTCCTGAATTTATTTTCCGAATTCCTTTGAAGATGTTCTGGAGTTATTCTCAGATTTAATTGTAATCCTCCTTTTAGTATTTTCAAAAAGATTCCAAGGACTTATGCCCGGATTCGTTTTCTCCCACAAACTTTAAGAAATCCTTATCCTTAGAAGACCCTTGGAATTTTCCTCTGAAGGAGTTGCTTCTCAGAAATTACTAAAAGTTTTCATTAAAGTTTGCTTTCAATTCAATTCAGGGTTTCTTGAAATTCTACTCAAAACTATCAACCTTCACAAGAAATCTTAAATTCCTCAAATCTACCTTGAAAGCAGATTGCATTTGATGTTTTTCTGGAGGATTTTTTCCCAGAACTTCCTCGAAACGAGGTCCTATGAAATTTTAATAAAATTCATCGAGTTTTTAAAACTGTGCATGGAATTTGACTCCAGATTCTTGAAAATTTCTAGAAGTATTATCGCTTTTAAAGGGGAAGATTTCTCTAAAAATATTGGAAAAAAATTCAAAAATCCAAGAAAATCAGTTTCTTTCTTAAATTCTTGAGAAAATTTACATGTAAAAATAGTTTTTTTTATCTCACCATTAAAAAATATTGGACTCTCAGCAAAACCGAAAAGTTGATGTTTTGTGGTTTTTTGAGTTCAACTTTATGCCATGA